ATGGCCGGGCAGGCTACGACACGATCTCTTGCGAGTCCTTCCTCCGATTTTTTTATGGGCGAACTCGCTCCTACATCCACGAACGCGTGCTGCCGCTATACGCTTAGACGACAGCCACACCCTCCAGAGGCGATGCAGATCGCGCTACACCAATGCTTGCGACACTGGCAGCGAACAACTGCGGTGGGGGCACTCCGGGCTGCGGCCTCACGCATGATGCGCTCCTTGCGCTCTGAGACCACGCCGTCGCGTGCCCAGGCACCGGTTGATCGCCCGCGAAGCGATGGTGCCAGAGGGACGCGTCGTCCCACAGCAAATGGCTCACGCACACTGCTGCCCGGGAGTGGCGCCGGATGATCCTTGTATATCGTCGTCGCCCCGACATGGTCGGCGTCACCCCCTCGGGCTACGTGTTGTGCTGCGATGCGAGGCTGTTATCCTCCCGTGACGGACAGCCACAAGGCCGCGCAGCCGACGGGCCGGCCCCGCCGGCATTGCGAAACGCGGCAGGTGGCAGTGCGAGCGTGGCCGGCAGCGACGAGGGCGGCCACACAAGAGCCACTGCCGGACCGGGTGCTGGAGCTCGCGGACGCTGCGGGGCCCAGCCTGTTGCCGCTGAGGCAGAGGCCTCCTAGCCGAGCCGACAGTGAACCCAACATAGGCTGGTGCAAAAAGGCGTGCGGAAAAAAAAAAAAAAAAAAACAACCCGCTGCCGCCGCGTCTCCCCGACCTGCAGTGTGCGTGGCTTCTCTTCGCTGTGTGCACATCGTCATGGGCCAACCACTCATTGCGCACGTTGTCACCATTTGTCATTGCAGGCCCCAGGCCCATGCCGATGCCGTGTGGCACCTTGCAGGCGTGCCTTGGCGGAGTCGCGTCAGGCGAAGTGGACGGTCACGAACACTAGCGGCTCTATCGCAATGCGCCGGCCTGCTACCGGCTGGTGTGCCCGCGCTCGTCCCCGACTGCGCTGCCCTCTCGTTGCCCTTGGCGTCCCTAATTGCGGCTAGTGTAGTGTCAGCTTGTTGGAGATTCCCAGGTCACCTCCGCATCACAGCGCATAGGAGTATGCTATTCTGTGCTGGCGTGTGGGGTGTCTTTGACGTTACGGGGAAAATGCTCCCGAAAAGCCACTTTTCTCGAAAAGCCACTTTTCTCGAAAAGCCGCTTTTCTCGAAAAGTGACTTTTCTCGCGGCGTTGGAGCGCACGGTGTCCGCGAAAAGCCACTTTTCTCGAAAAGCCACTTTTCTCGAAAAGCCGCTTTTCTCGAAAAGTGACTTTTCTCGGGGCGTTGGAGCGCACGGTGTCCGCGAAAAGCCACTTTTCTCGAAAAGCCACTTTTCTCGAAAAGTGACTTTTCTCGCGGCGTTGGAGCGCACGGTGTCCGCGAAAAGCCACTTTTCTCGAAAAGCCACTTTTCTCGAAAAGCCACTTTTCTCGAAAAGCCGCTTTTCTCGAAAAGCCGCTTTTCTCGAAAAGCCGCTTTTCTCGAAAAGTGACTTTTCTCGCGGCGTTGGAGCGCACGGTGTCCGCGAAAAGCCACTTTTCTCGAAAAGCCACTTTTCTCGAAAAGCCACCTTTCTCGAAAAGCCACTTTTCTCGAAAAGCCGCTTTTCTCGAAAAGTGACTTTTCTCGCGGCGTTGGAGCGCACGGTGTCCGCGAAAAGCCACTTTTCTCGAAAAGCCACTTTTCTCGAAAAGTGACTTTTCTCGCGGCGTTGGAGCGCACGGTGTCCGCGAAAAGCCACTTTTCTCGAAAAACCACTTTTCTCGAAAAGCTGCTTTTCTCGAAAAGTGACTTTTCTCGCGGCGTTGGAGCGCACGGTGTCCGCGAAAAGCCACTTTTCTCGAAAAGCCACTTTTCTCGAAAAGCCGCTTTTCTCGAAAAGTGACTTTTCTCGCGGCGTTGGAGCGCACGGTGTCCGCGAAAAGCCACTTTTCTCGAAAAGCCACTTTTCTCGAAAAGCCACTTTTCTCGAAAAACCACTTTTCTCGAAAAGCCACTTTTCTCGAAAAGCCACTTTTCTCGAAAAGTCACTTTTCTCGCGGCGTTGGAGCGCGCGGTGTCCGCGAAAAGCCACTTTTCTCGAAAAGCCACTTTTTGCGAAAAGTGACTTTTCTGGCCGCGTTGGTGCGCGCCGCGTCCGCGAAAAGCCACTTTTCTCCTCTTCCTGTTTAGGGTTTAGGGTTTAGGGTTTAGGGTTTAGGGTTTCGGGTGTAGGGCTTGGCCCAGCAGCCTCAGGACAAACAGAGAAGTGCCCTTCGTGTTCAAAGGGGGACTTTAGGGTTTAGGGTTTATAGGGTTTAGGGTTTAGGATGGTTTAGGGTTTAGGCTTTCGGGTTTGGGGTTTGGGGGAGGCTTTAGAGCTTGGGTCTTCGTCCTGAGGGCTTGCTCCAGACCCTCAACTCGAAACCCGAAACCCTAAACCCTAAACCGGTTTAGGGTTTAGGGTTTAGGGTTTAGGGTTTAGGGTTTAGGGTTTAGGGTTTAGGGTTTAGGGTTTGGCCCAGCAGCCTCAGGACAAACAGAGAAGTGCCCTTCGTGTTCAAAGGGGGACTTTAGGGTTTAGGGTTTAGGGTTTAGGGTTTAGGGTTTAGGCTTTCGGGTTGGGGGTTTGGGGGAGGCTTTAGAGCTTGGGTCTTAGTCCTGAGGCTTGCTCCAGACCCTCAACTCAAAACCCTAAACCCTAAACCCTAAACCCTAAACCCTAAACCCTAAACATCGTCGGGGCTTGCTTAATGCTCTTAATCTTCGACAGCGACTATGTCAGGCTGTGAACCCCGCGCCGCTACTAGAACTCCAGAATCCCCCCAGCTCTACTATGATTATCAAGGCCGGCATACATGCCGCCGTGGGTGCCTTGTCGTGCCATAGCTCAGAGAAGCGGAGAAGGGAGGCGTAGAGGTTCTCTTGGTTGCTTCAATGGCAGGCGCCGTGTGGGGGCGCACAGCGTCTTTCAAAAGCCACTTTTCTTTAAAAGCCACTTTTCTCGAAAAGCCACTTTTCTCGAAAGCCACTTTTGGCGAAAAGTGACTTTTCTCGCGACGTTGCGCGCGCCGTGTCCGCGAAAAGCCACTTTTCTCGAAAAGCCACTTTTCTCGAAAAGCCGCTTTTTGCGAAAAGTGTCTTTTCTCGCGGCGTTGGAGCGCACAGCGTCTTTCAAAAGCCACTTTTCTTTAAAAGCCACTTTTCTCGAAAAGCCACTTTTCTCGAAAAGCCACTTTTATCGAAAAGCCACTTTTCTCGAAAAGCCACTTTTCGCGAAAAGTGACTTTTCTCGCGACGCTGGCGCGCGCCACTTTTCTCGAAAAGCCACGTTTATCGAAAAGTCGCTTTTCTCGAAAAGTGACTTTCTCGCGACGTTGCGCGCGCCGTGTCCGCGAAAAGCCACTTTTCTCGAAAAGCCACTTTTCTCGAAAAGCCGCTTTTTGCGAAAAGTGACTTTTCTCGCGGCGTTGGAGCGCACGGTGTCCGTGAAAAGCCACTTTTCTCGAAAAGCCACTTTTCTCGAAAAGCCGCTTTTCTCGAAAAGTGACTTTTCTCGCGGCGTTGGAGCGCACGGTGTCCGCGAAAAGCCACTTTTCTCGAAAAGCCACTTTTCTCGAAAAGCCGCTTTTCTCGAAAAGTGACTTTTCTCGCGGCGTTGGAGCGCGCGGTGTCCGCGAAAAGCCACTTTTCTCGAAAAGCCACTTTTCTCGAAAAGTGACTTTTCTCGCGGCGTTGGAGCGCGCGGTGTCCGCGAAAAGCCACTTTTCTCGAAAAGCCACTTTTCTCGAAAAGCCACTTTTTGCGAAAAGTGACTTTTCTGGCCGCGTTGGTGCGCGCCGCGTCCGCGAAAAGTTACTTTTCTCGAAAAGCCACTTTTCTCGAAAAGCCACTTTTCTCGAAAAGTAACTTTTCTAGTCGGTTTTCCCGCTAACCTGGAAGACGCACCGTGTGACAGCTTAGCCCATTGGCTCCCTCGCCTTTGCCGCCCTCTGAGCGTCCTTTGCCCGAAACCCTTGAGTGGCGGCACTGAAAGCCCACACGGTCAGGTTGCTGGAGCTGCCGGTGCGCCCCGTCGACGCCAGTGACGGCGCGGAAGTGCCGGTCGGCGACCTTCTTGCGGAGCTGCCGTAGTGCCGACCAGACTGCAGTCGCGCAGGCGCAAAATATGCGTGAGAAAAAACGACCTTGAGTCGACGATATTTGCCCGCGTGCATTCTTGAGGGAGACTGATGCTGCTTCGGCCGCCGTGCTGAATTCGCAAGCTGGGCCGCGCGCAGCCACTGCATCTTACCGCTCGCCCCACCCACAGCCGGAGTTCACCCTAGCATCCCCGCATCCGCCAGCGCAGACTCCGCTGCCGCTCAGCGGGTGCCGCTCACGGGGTGGCCCTGTTGAGCGAGGCCCTCAATGTGCTGGATTGGGACCTCAATGGGATGACCGGCGCGTAGAGGTCATAGCCACTGGCTTTTCGCTCTGCTCCGGTGCTATCGAGGGCTGCGACCATCTCCGCCTTCACCTTCCGGAGGTCCGCAGGTTTGTCCGGCGTCGCAGCGCACTCTGTGCTCTGCTTGCTTCTCGGGACTGTGTTGCACATTGGACGGCGAGGAGAGAAAAAACTCGTCATCTCTTTACTGCGATGCAACATTTGCTCGTTGGTGGGCCATACAACAATTGGACTCATTGGACTCCCCTCGTTCCGTCGCTTGCGCCTAGCGCTGCCTCTTACCGCAAGCACGCTGCAAATGCCGGCAACCTCACTACCCGCTCATATCGCAACTTGCCCACGCTCGGCGTCCTCCGCTCCCAAGGCATGCCCCTCGAGAGCGCCGCGCTTCGCATAAGACCCAGCACTCGTCGTAGAAGCAGCCCACGAAGGACTCCCAGCGAGTAAATAGGTGTAAAGAAAGCAGAAAAACAACGCACTGTGATTGTGTGTTTTTTGCATTCTTTTTTGGAATGTTCAAGTAAAGCTGGTTTGTTGGCCGTGCAACCGAGGTCCAAGTTTCCCAAATGGTTCATGGAAACCAACGTGACCCTCAAGTGTGGGGCAATTTGTTGGACCAAGCCTTGGCTTCGCCGCATGACTGCACATATTCCAGGTCTCAAAAATCACGAAATGCACAGAAGGTATAGCACCCCCCAAAAAGGTTACATGTCAGCAGGCCTGCCAAACGCATTCTCCAAAAACATTCGCCGGAGTCAGATTGCAGTCATGAGTGCATGTGAGTGCAAAGTTGGGTGTATGCCGGACAGGCATGCTGAGCTTTCACCGCATGACATGGCCAGCATCTTGTGGTCAATGTCGAAAGCCCGCTACCATCACGAAACGTTGGTCAAAGAGTTTGCGCGCACCTTGTCATTTCGAGCTGGCGTGACATCCATCGTGACAGCTATGCTGGCATTGGACCGGTTGGGCTTGCCCACGGAATCGCTTAGGGCTCCCTTTCTGCAGCAGCTAAGCGGGCACTGCCAAGAACTCAGTTTTGCAGATTTGCGACGGGTCCTCATGGCATTGGCACGATGCTGGAAACAAGCAGCTGTCCAGCAAGATCTGTTGTTTGAGATTTGCGACGCCACTGCTGACAAAGCCATCGGCTGTGACCCACGAGACCTTGTGGCGATGCCACAACATTTGGGCCGGCTACAGTTTCTGCACGGGCCACTGCTCTCTGCATCAGCTGATGCGGTGTCCAGGCTGGTGGCTTCACGTTTATCCGTTCTGCCTTTGGATATCCTGCGTGCCATGGATGGTTTCCTCCTGGTAGCCGGTTTCTTGGAGGCGGGTGCAGCTCGTGCTCAAACCTTAGAGCTTGCACGAAAGTGTCAGCTCTTTGGGGGACAGCTGCTGAAATCATCAAGGCAGTCGGAGCTTTGGAACATCGGATCACAGCTTTTGGGCGCCGAGATTGTGAGCTCACAAGTTTGGGTTCTGTGGGCCTCAGAGATGGTTCAGCACTCGCCCGAGACCAGTCGCGCAAGAGGAGTTGCAGTTCTACGCCAGCAAATGGCAAAGAAATGGTCATTGGATCGTCCTCCGGAAGGATTGCAAGAAGCGCTTCAAGTCTTGTTGAGACCTCAAGAAAACAGTGCCGCAAGCGCTTGGAAAGCGCGGTTTCGACTTGCAGCGACATGCAGCGACATTGCCTTGTCAGTCGTTGCAATCCATCCGCGCCTCCACCAGCTGTCGCAGTGCAGGAAAATCATTAACGTGTGTGTTCGAGTTGAGTTATGTTGAGTTCGCAGGTGTTTTGACATGAAGTTATATACTTGACGGTCACAGATGTGCTGGATGTTAGACTTCGACCAGGTACAAGGATTATGTGACTTAAATCTACGTTTGGCTTTCCAATGCTGAACACGTTCACTGTTCACGTGGCGCTACTGTTCTGGAGGGTTGCGGCATCACTAGAGTAACCGCGCAACCAACAGTAGAGCAACAAAGGGTGAACACATTCCCCATGGACGTCCCGGCAGTACTTCAGGCCGGAGACGCCTTGAATGCATTAATTGAATCCGTGGTGTTCCAGTGCAAAAAGTGGCTGTGCGCATATTACATCCCACCAGCTCAAAGCAGCCTGAGGACAGGGAGGACGCGATCGGGCGAGTGTTGGCTGCAAGGTTCTGCAGTACAGGATGCAAATGCGCAGCAGAGTTGCTTGTGCAGGGTCGTGTGTGCCATTGTGTGCCTTAATCACGGAGTAGAGCAGGTACCCTTCTGGCGCGCTGTTGGGAGACAACTCTGTCAACCGACCATCTCCCCTGGATGCGTTGCAAAGGTCACCCGTTGCCAAGATTTCAGGCCATTGGTTTAACGATTCTGAAGCGAAGCCTCAAAATGATTCGAAGTGAAAAGGTTCCGTTTATCGATCTATCGTTTGTTGGTTCATTGTTCTGCTGCTTTGCATGAGTTTACTGCAGCTGACATGAGTAACCAAATAAGCTTCAAAAGGCATTAGGACAATGAGTGTCGGTGGTGCCAGAGCTTAGGTACCGCAGTCTGGCCAACCAGATTCACCCAGAACGATGTGTAGACCCACGCGCTGAACAAGCCTTCGTCCGTGCATCCAAAGCATTTGTCCGAGCCTCAGAATTTCCAGGGCATAGCAACATTCGGCGAAACTTGTCTCAGTCTCTCGTCTGACTACACAAGGATGCGCTGTGCGAGATGGATTCCCGCTCTGACAACACCCCGACCCTAGACACGTGGGAGGCCAATGCTACGATTCAACTGCTTGTCCGTTGAAATACATACTGAGCTTTTTGCTCGCATCCGGTGGGGCAAAGGATGAATATGATGAATGAAGCTGCGCTTTTCTTTGCCACCCTATGAATATAGTGAACAAAGCTGATTGCAGAATATTGCAGTGCATTGAGATGTGAGACGTGCCGCCCCAAGCAAAGAAGGCATCTAACCAAGCCCGGCGCGAAGGCTTGTGCAGCACAACAAGGAAACATGGCCCTGGCTGCCTGCAGTGGAAGATGGTGGGGCGCCGCGTGCCTACTGAATTTGTTGTGGCAGTGGCGAGGGGTAGTCGACAGACCTTGCATCCGCATGTCCATTCTATGAGAACACAATAACACACAGGTAAGCAGCGTGGCAGATTTGGACCGCTGCTTGGAGTTTCGAGCTGCAGCCATGGATGTTCTGTTCAAGCAGACGGCCCGAGCCGATGACACTGACATCCAGCATCTTGACAAGCTGGTTGCTGATACCGAAAAGATTTGTGAGCACCTGGATCGGCAAAAGGGGATTCAGCGCCACCGCCTTTGGCCTGGCAAAGGCCGCGTGCAACACCAGCAGGCCCGGACGGCAGCCTTGCGCTACCTGGACTTGCTATGCCACCTACGCAGTGTACACTGCTTTTGCCAATTGCGTCATCAGCACTTCCATCACTCGCTGGAGTTGCTTGCTGCATCGCCTCTGGCTGATATGCAGGGCTTGCTTGCAGAAGCCCTAGCACCAAAAACTTGCTGTGCGCCGCCAATAACACCTGACGGCAAGTGCAAGGCGGACGAGGGCGATGTAGATCCACTCGACGAGTACATGGCACAAATTGATACTGCCGCCAAGGAGGCAATCAGGATTGCAGGTTCGAAATCCAACCGCGGCGAGGACAGCGCAGTAGAAGGTACGGCAAGCCACAAGACTCACAAGACCAAGCAGCAAGAGGTGCCAGAGCTGCAAGAGCGGCATGAGGCTGTTGATATGCCTCATCGGACAGCAGAAGCAGCTGCAGCCGAAGAGCGCGTGGTGAAATCTGCGAAAATGGCAGCCGCCGAGAAGGCGGGCATAGGCGGGCAAATGCAAGGAGAGGCCTCGAAGCTAGCAGCTAGCAACTAGCGCGGGACAAGTTCTTGTTCAGTTACTGACAGTTCTGTTTTTTTTCTGCTTTAGAGGGCAAAAATTCGGGTCCTGATTAGGGTATCTAGTGGCGATAGTACGGTTTCAGGGAAACAGACGAAGAGGCCACCGACCCTTTCAAGTGCTGGGTGTTCTCCTTCAGCGATACATCCCAAGCATCGAAAAGTTGTGCTTGCACAAGGAGGGTCCAGCTGCTGGTTTAAAAGCCCTGACAAAATTGTTGCCTTGATCCAGGCTGCAGCTCAACGATGTCTTCAGAACCAGCTCTTGGGCGACCTGCTTTCGGATGAAGGGGCCTCAAAGGGATCTTCAGGGGCCGTGCTTCGCCTCTGCAGAGTGGATTCAGAGTGGACCACAGCAGCATAATATAGCCTTGGAAGGTGACATCTCGCATCTCACATGTTCAACTGCAGCATGCGGATGGTAGATGTAATTTACATGTTTTACCAGGTATACACATTGCTGAATGTAACGTAGCGATTTGTTTTTAGGGGGGTCAATTGTATTCTGTTCGGCTCACAGCTTTAGGATGCCAAGCAAGAAGAGCAACTGTTGTCCAACATGCTTCAAACTTGCTCGGTTAGTGTGCACCTCGACCCGCCGCATTCAGTCATTCAGTTCACCTGCGCACAGGTTGGTGTTATTCTCGCCTACATGCCTAGTTGCGTTTTGCTGAGAGGAGAAGTCAGGAGAAGTGGACAACTGTTTGTCTTGGTATAGTGTATAGCGAGACATGCCGAGGAATCCGAGCTGGAAGCAGAGGGACCTCAAGGCCATGCATGAACTGGCCGAAAAAGGTTTTCGGCAAGTTTGATGCAAACTTGCCTGTCAAGCTTGCTCTCTGCGTTGTCCCCAATAGTCGTTGCAAACAAAAACTTGTGTCCAGTCCTTCGTCAGCCGACGCCGCTGCAACTTGCCGCTTCGCCACGCTTTGCAGACATGTACTACAGTAGACGTCGCAGTCGCATGCACGACAGACAGAAGATCATGTGGGTGATGAGACACTGCCTTAGAGCGAGCTCTGTATCTTGCCATGGGCAACATCATCGACAACAACCTTTGTTGCGCACGCTCTGCGAAGGTGAAGGCACGCCGGTCGTTGTCGCTCATGAATGCCGCGCGCGGCGAAATGGGTTCGCAGGTGGAGCTGGACCGTTTCAAGAACCGTCTGGAAGCTTGCAACAAGAAGCTGGATGGACTGGTGCAGGCACGGACGGTGAGTGACTGATGGCTAATGGCATCTAATGTCGGTGATTCGTTCTTTTTCCATGTGAAGTTGCTCATGGCAACGCTCCCGTATGAGAAAGGAGGAGATCGACGAAGTCTTTGGACAAGTTGATGTGGATGGCAGCCAAGCATTGGACCTCCAAGAGGCCAAGGCATTGGTAGGCCTGGTGTTGCGCTCAACTCTGCTCAACTCTGCTCAACTCTGCTCAACTTCAGTGCTTATCTTCTGTTTAGCCAGCGATCCAAGCACAGTCTCATACAGTCTCCCTTGAGAGGCAAGTTGGAGGAGAAAGGCCGCTTGAAAAGCAACAAGTCAGAAATCACGCCCACATCAGGTGATGTCCTTTCACACATACTTGTGGTGAAGTTTTGCTGCGCGTGCCAAGTAATTCTTTCGGTTTTGATAAACTTCTCAGGCTTCGAGTTCCCATCAGACGTCAGCACCTTCGACCAGGATGGCGATGGCAACATAAGCAAAAGCGAGGTCGCGAATCACGGCACACGGCAAGATCAAAGAACGCGATGATGGAAGCTGGCCTTTGCCACACTATCGATTGTTTTTTCTGTGCTGTCGATCTTGACTGAAATTGCTTCTGCAGGTCTCACTTGCTGTGCGATCAGCCCTGCGCGAGCGTCCCAAGTTGCTGGGCTCATTTGCAGCCGCAAATCTTATTCTGTCCTTCTGCTGTGCTTCGGGCGGCTGCAACAACTGGGGCTCAGGAACTTGGAGCTGTTGAGCAGCAAGTGTGAAGACGTGGACATTTTAAGCAGAGATGCGTGGGACTTGACACTTGGATACTCTTGGGCATGCTTTGGTTGCTTCATGTCAGCATCGACCACCAACAGCAAAGCCTTCAGTTCTTCAGTTCATTCGTTCCCTCGGGGTCCTTTCCATTGCAAGGATCGATGTGACGAAAGAGCCTTGAATTTGACTGGTTAGCTTTATTCTCTGTTTCTGTTATTCTCTGTTTCTGCAGTCGGTGGACAGGTGCTGGGGGGAGTATTTGATATGGCAACCATGCCCGACATGCCCGAAACGCGGGTTATTTGCAGCCCTTTTGCAGGAGAAACTGGACGGACATGTTTGGCGTTTCCGCGCGCGCCGTCACGAGCAATCACTTGTGCGAGCATGTGCAAATGGTTGGGGGTGGGGCGGCAAGTATGAACGATCTTGCGAACCAGCAACCCAATGCGAAAACATCCTTGTCTTGAGATACTTTTTGGGGGCATCTCGCCGGCTGTCCTATTTTCCCACACTCAAGTACTGCTTGAGGCCTTTGAAACATGCGTGACGGCGCAAACGTGTTCAGACGTGTTGCAACTTTTACCAGGGCTTGCTTGAGTAACAATCAGCGACAGCCAAAAGTGCCAACCCAAAATCAAACCAACAGAGCAGACAGCGACACGACGGCAAACATGGAGGGCTGCCGTCAGGATGGCTACATCAGCATCCCAGAGTTGTCCATGTTCTATGGAGACCTGGGGAAGGCACCGGCCAGACCTCGAGACCTGACCGCGGAGTTGGCGTTTGGCAATGCAGTTTGCGAAACAAAGTCTGTTGCTGCCGTTCCTTGACGCTTGGCTTGAGCTTGGAGGTTATGGACGAGAAGCCTCCGACATACCAGGACTCACTAGCACACATATCGCATGAGCCAGCGTGCGACGCAGTTAAATCAGGCCATGTTGAATACGCAAACAAATCAACTCTCATCACATGATCTCTGTGGTGAAGAAAACAAAAAGCAATGTCTCTTGGAAGAAAAGTGTCGATTGGACAAATCTAGCTTGAAACAGCCCGCAACTCCAAGCCCCAAAACGTTGATTCCCAAAAAACAACAAGTTAGCACATGTTGGCAGGGTCCCCCCAAGCCCTAATACCCGCCTTGACTGGAGACACTGGACCAATGTAGCTTGAAACTGCCCTGAAGTATCCTGAATTCTTCGCAGGGCAAGGCTTGCCACTGAAGCCCTGGCTCCCCCGTTCAGGGCTCTTTACAGGATGTTCAGATGGCATATGGTTTTCTTAGGGCTTGGGCCTTTGGCGGTTCGAAAAGAACTTGGCAAGTTTGTGAATATAATATGATAGAGTCTGATATAGTAATATCATATCATGGTCATGCATTGTCTCAAGCGTTGTTCGGCGTGAGGAGCTGCTGGAGCTAGCCAGGAAGTGCGCCAGCAGCAGATTTTCAGACTGCAACTCGAATTTTGTTGACGCAGATCCTCCGATGTCCTCCGATCAGGTATGACACGGACAGCGACAGTGTATTGACGTACGAAGAGTTCGAGCTTCTATTTTGTGATTACCTGTGCCGGACCTGTTGCATGACGTGCCTTGCGCACAACGAAATAGAGCGAATGCCTCTTGTTGTTCTGCAGGACTTGTTTCAAACCCGAGGAGTTCGAAGTACAGGACTCGGGGTCGGAGCCCGACAAATCCTGAAGTCCTGAAGCTGGCGGCATCAGTGACGCGAGTTGTTCCAAGACCCTTTCGACAGTCCATATTCCAGCACGTGTTTCACGTGACAATGTCAATGTGAGCTTTTATGGGCTCGGATTTATGTGTTGATTTGGCCGGCCTGGCTTATGTTCAACAATGTCTTGAACTGCCGAAGCTCAGTCCTGTGCACAGTAGCCAGCACATGCCGACTTGTTCTGACGGAAGAAATTCTTTGCTGGAGCTCATGAGTGGAGGCGCCTTCACACCACTGGACATGTTTTTCGCTGACCTTCCGAGAGCGTGTGGCTTCAGAGCGGTGGGGGATCAAGCAAGCACGGCAAAGCTGAAGCCTTGGCGATAAGACATGGCTTCAGTTGTCACTTTATTACACACATCCGCGTTTGCAAGCACCTTTCAGGAACGTAGTGAGCCGCCTTTCATGTATGGCAAGTGCTGCCGGCATTCGCGTGTCAAATGCCAGGCTTGCATTTTATTTGCTCTTGTTGCGCATTACTCACGCAACTAAGTGCAGGCGATCTGACAGATTTGGTTCGATGGCAGCAGGAACTGGCTGACAATTTGGAGGTGTTGGCTTTCAAGTGGGTTCACGTTTGCACTTTTTCTCACTACGATGCTAAGGTTATTGCAAAACAAGCAGTGCAGTGCAGACACAATTTTAACATGCTTGTCGTGTCTGTCGAGGCATTGTCGCGCACATGCACTGGCATCAATATGGCGATTGAAGGCATCTCCGGCTCGGAGCGCCTCCACTGCGAGGCCACCATGAGGAAATTGCCGGCGTTAGTCCTCATGCCCCAACAGAAGGGGTACGATCATCCCGAAATAACTGGCGAGAGCAACGAGAATAGAGCATGTTAAAAACGAAGCATCAGTGTTGCCAAATGCCATTCGCTTGCGAAGGGTCACAACGGTCAAAAACCACCAGCATCTTGGCTGCGCCCTGCATGTGCCAAAATTTTACACGCCTTAATTCCTACCTTCCGAGTATTGCCTTCTCTATTTGCAACATGCTTGAGCAGCCAACGGGCGGCTTCAGATTCGAGCCTGACTGACTCAGTGATTGAGTACGTGATATTCAGAACTGCTGGGAGGTGCCTTATGTGCAGATCTGCCACCATGCATTGGAATGTTTGCACCTGTCAACGATCTATAATGATCTCTGGCATGGTTCATCGTTCACGGACTTAGGGCTTTGAAGTGCCGGAGAAGTTTCGCCTCGCCGATGGAGTGCCAGTACAAACGAGCAAGAGCAAAGCCAGGAGGACAGCGCCAAAGAAGAAACGCTCATCTAGTCGACTCACTGCCATTATGGTGACACAGAATCGGCCAGGCCAGGCTCGTCGTAGATCAATTTTAAAATGCCTTTCCACGTGACACTAGATCTCCGAGGTTCTCATAGGTTCTCTACATTGTGCGAACTGTACTTTTCGCTGTTGCCAAGAAGTTGGAAATTTGCATGGGGCAGGTACTCGCTTGCTGGAGGACTGGAGCGAGGGATTTGTCATCTCAGAACAGGAGGCTACAAATGTCTACAATGAGCTCTACGGATGCTTGTCTGATGAAGTAGCGGCACGTTGCACTGCTTGTCTTCTTTAGTACGCTCGCGCAAGAGTGCATCACCAGTAAACTCGGCACGTCACCGTCCAGGCGAACGCGCCTCAGAAGGAGAGCGGGCTTTCTCTAGCATCCAAAGCATGCGAGAATTGGGTGCTCGCTATTGCCAACGTGTCTTGGCTTCATTACCCATTCCAAAACCTCGTGCACCGACGGACGAAGGCGACACGAACAGCAGCCCTCAATCCTGAAACTTCACCAGCGCGTTGAATCGCATGATGTCGTCTTCTGCTTTCCAAGATTCAAGCATGAGGCGCACAAGCCAGTGGCGTCATGTCGACTTTCCACCTGACATAGGGTCACTGCCCCTTTGTGTTTCGTCGCGCTTGCACTCTTGCACTCATCCCAATTCGAGGTAGACGCGTGCTATCCGCCTTGATGGCAGTCTGGGAGCTCACGACCTTAATCCTCGTCTTGGTGGACATAGTTCTGACGCCATTCACGTTGGCTTGGCCAGAGAACGACAGCGCCCCATTCCGAACATCAACTTATTTCCAGGCATCCTGCTCAGCTGCCAGTGTTTGCACGTAGGTGCAAATGATCGTTGAACTATCGTTGCGCAGGGCAGCAAGGGGAGAACATGGGAGAACCTGTCGGTGTCAATTTTTCGAAGGTCAGCCCATGGATTTGGGGCGTGGACATCTTGATGAGCTTTGCCCCTTCCATCTTGACCGAGTCGCGTTCGCAGAAGCTCCGGCTCGCCAAGAAGTACATCTGCCGATCATCTGCGATTCAATGTGTTTCTCTATGTTTCTCTAGCCTGGGGCAGGCACACTGTTGTTAGCCGAGTCACGATGCGGTGCCCATTGCCAAATTGTAAGCGGTCGCGTGTCGTTGTGGGTGTTTCTATAAGGACTACCTGCCACATCTGCCATCCACCACCTTCAGGGTTGTGGAATCTCTACATGAGCAACCGCCAAACAGGAACAGAGAAGAACAAGAAACTTGGACTGTAACAGAAACTCGCCGGAGCCAAGCATCAACCCGCGACCAGGTTTGGTGCTTGAACGGGTGACTTTTCATTTCTGGTGGGGGGGCGGGGTGGTATAGGTGTTTATAGAGGGCTGTTGGGTTAGCTCCCACCCCCCACACACACAACACACACACACAGAGACAGAGACAGAGACAGAGACACAGACACAGACACAGACACAGACACAGACACAGACACAGACACAGAGACACACACAAATTACCAGGCTCTCTCCGCTTGGGATGTTGGGATGCTTTGGGGATTTTGGTACGGCTGACGGCTTGTGGCTAACTTGTGGCTTTGCTAGGGTTTCCCACGAAGCCAGGATTGCCTCTCGCCCAGGGGCATAGAAAAACGGCAACATGTCCCCAAGCAGATTAGGCCTGTCCACAGTAGTCTTGGTGAGGAGTCGTTCCTGAGCACAGTCAACAGGAGCAGAAACACCTTCACATACAGACGCTCCGCCCACAGTGTCCACATGTGCGGGCCCCGCCGTGGACTGCGTCGAGGTGGCCCCATGAAACGCCCACACTGCTGGAATGCATGAAGACTGCCATCTTGACGATCATGGTAGACTCGGTAGATCACATGGCGAGAGACAGCCCATTACGGGCGTGCAAAAAAACCCATGTGCTGAAGCTTCGCAGCGTCCCAGCGACACAGCGCTGGGCCGCCGGGCCACCCAGACATGCCCAGACAAGCCAGGAGATTTTGAACCGGTACATGGCTACAGGATAGAGTGCTGGTGCCCGCCCCTCGGTGAAGGCTCGGCTGGATATGCAGAGCTTAAGTTCCGAAACGGAACCAGCGAAAGATAGCGAAAGTATGGGCAAGGAAGGGGGCCACGTCATCTCGAGTGGATAGGTCAAAGATTTGTCAAATCCAGCGTGGTGGAACTGGTGCAACCTTCCGTGCAGAAACGTTTTTGCATCCGCGTTGTGGATGGCAGACCATCATTCCATCTCGCATCATCCGGAGCAGCATGCTGTTTCATCGATCATGGCATCGATGTTCACACAAGATGGCAGGGGAAACCTTGCAGCACATTTCGATTGGAATGTTCATCTGTCCATCGGCTGCCTTAACTTCAATCACTTGTTGATCCGTATCTTCTCGGGATCATTTACGAACGTCGTCAACGCCGACGAACATTTTGAAGATTGAGCTCTTTGCCATTCACCCGCCGACGATGGCACGGAGGGGACAGCAAACAGGTCATATGTAAGCCTTGTAACTTGTAAGCTTGGCCAGCTTGCATAACTTCGAAGTAGACTTTTACATAACTGCTGCGCCCACGCATATGCCCCGACATATGATTGCACGAAACGAGGGAAAGCGTGCCATTTTTTTCACCCAGGCTCAGTCTTCCCACTTGATGTGTGGAACTCAGTGGGAAAGTATCCATTTCTTTTGCGGCAGTTTTGTGACGAGTCGAGAGGACCGTTGAGGCATGTTGAGGACACCTTGAGAACCACAAGCCCGCACGCGCGACCCATCTTGAGTTCAGGTGTGCCTGCTCGCTTTGGATGCACTGATCCAGCTGGGAATCCAGGACGAGAAGCTGCGACTGCTTGCATTGCTCCGGCTGTTTCGATTCTTAAAGATGCAACGGGCTGCTGGGCTATGCCGATCTTGGCAAGTTGTTTTGAATTCTGGTGTTCTTGTCCAAGCATGTTTTGTTTCTTTTCGTTCGTCCATTCAGACCATCAAACAAAATCGACAGTGAATGGTAGATTGATGTGAGTATCCGGCCCTTTTGGACGTTCTGTTCGGAAAGTTTCTTGCCACCCTAGCGATGAGTGGCAGGCCTGTTTCGGTTGGGCATATCAGCTTGCATAGTTCGCGTGATCGTTGCCCAGCCCATCACCTCCAACACAACACCACAACATCGGGATGGGCCATGGCGCCCTTAATTTGCACCGCAGCCATTCTCACATCATTGTCATCGAAGGAAGATCCACATATACTGCCGCAAACAAGTTGTACGTACTCAGTGAGAGCCACACCAGCAAGACAAACATGTTGAGCCAAGGTCATCACTGCCTTTGAGAACAAATTGGCAGAGCGCGGTAGTATCAAACTAGTGCCATGCCTAATTATTCTTCAGTGTATTGGGACCATCCTCGCCGTGAACCACTTGTTGGCTTGCTTGCTGTATTATGTTGGCTATCTTGGGAAGATCTTGAACTACAAGAATTGGATCGAGTTCTATGGAGTGCTGGACCAGACGCTGTACAGTCAATATATGCATCTGGGCGAATCGGATGGTACTCACGTGCGCATGCAAGCTTGATCTTGTTCGCAGCTGTTTCACGTGCTGTCAAGGACATGCTTTAATTGGGTCGTTGCGGAGTACACTCCTGCCCCGTTTCCCTACCAGCCCCAGAACGAAGCA